TGTTTTATATAATATGTTTAAAACAATGTGTATGTTATTCATTATTGATTTACTTTGAGGTTGGTCTAAGGAATCACTTGTCAGTTGTTACGATAATAATCAACAACCGAGACAAAAACAAAAATATAAAACTGTGTACGCATAGTCACGTAGAAATTAAAAAATATTTATTGGTCTAGGATCTAGATATTATACGCTTTATTTCCATACTTTTATAATTTACTGAATAATACATAGTTTTTAGAAGAAAATATGCTGACTTGGTTCTTTTGGGTTACTGAGAAAAATGCATACCATTGTCATTTCGACTAGATAAATATTTTTTAGGAGATTACTAGCTTTATTTATTTGATATTTGTTTTTTTTTCAATGTCAAAAGATTAGGTTAGATTATGCATAAAACTATACTATGTGGAGTGTAGGCAAACAAGTAGAGTATTAGAATGCAAATGATTATAATTCATATTTTATGAATAATCTTGCTTTTTTTTTTTACTCCATCAACAACCTAAAACTGTTATCATTGAACATACAACGTATGAAAACTAATATAACCATTAGGTACTGTACAGTTTACACAATAATAATAATAGTATCATAATGAAACAGTGAAAACCAAAAGAAATTGCATAAATATTTATTTTTTTAAAGTTCTACTCACAAAAAGTAATAATATACACACTCATAAATATAGTCAAACCTCAATTATTAAAGTATACAATGTCTTGGCACATTTTGCATAATTTTCTCGGAAACATTACTACACTATTGCTATTATTATTTACGTTATATTTAGAATTTTCTAAAAGTCATGAGTATAGTTACTTCAAATCTCGTGTGATCGTATTAAAATCTACATTTTTACGAGAATTTATAACGGTAAAATGTAATACTCATACATATACTAGAGCAAATTATTTTTTCTTTATTACAAGTATAAAATTATATTATATACGTAAAATTCTGTAAATATAATTTACATTAGTAATGATTAAATCAATTTCGTACTAACATTAATCTTAAAATCAATAGTAGCCAGTAGGTATATTCCCATTTTATATTTTATCAACCCCGAAATAGCTATTGACAAATTTATAAAAAATAAATATTTAATATAATAACCTTCTATTTTAATATTAAAAATCAGGTAGGTATATGACTCTCTACTGTACTTCTTAAAGTGTCAAGTAACCTCGTAGGTTACTGTAAGACGCAGATTCAAGATGTCATCAAATATAGAATTTATACATAATGCATAAAAATATGTAATGAAAATAATTTAAAAATTTTCTTTTCAAATTTTGTTGTTATATTTTATTAAAGCTAAAGCTAAATAAAATATATCTGCTGGATTTAAATTCAATGATAAATAATAATTGCATACGAAAAATAATTTTGAGTAAAGACGGTCTGCCTATGTATTATTAATAGTTAATTTCAATATTCATACTTTAGAAATGTATTGTACAATTTATAATATGGCAAAAGTACGCAATAACTTAAAACTAATCTACATATTTTTTAAATATTATTACATGTAATAAAATATAATAATATAAGTAAAATTTTCAAATCCTTAAGAAATATTATTTAATTACAATAAAATAACTAAAATCATTAATCTTTATTTAAAATATCCAAAACAATTATGACTAATATTTTTTTTAGTTTTTCGGGTTTTAGTCATTTTTAAACCTTAGCTTAAAATTGCACATTTTATTAATATTTAACAACAAGTTTACAAAAAAATTAACACATTCTCGTGATTAAAAAAACAAAAAAAATTGTCAATATTTAAATTAAACTTTATAAGTTTACACAGAAAAAAAAATATGACTATTTATTTCTAATTTTTGAGAATTGCTGATAAATAATTTATGTTGTATCTTATATTAGATTTTCAAGTTGTTTAGACAGTCTAAAATTTTTAGTTTAGTCAACACTTAAAGTATAAGTGCCTATAAATAGCTTAAAATTTGTTTAAATATTTCATCGAGTATAGAAAATAATGATTTAAGAAACAGTAGAATATTTCAAGTTTTTACTATAAACACCGTTTGAATATTACTTTTAAAACTAAAATTGTTAATTTACGCTAAATTTATCAAAAATTACACAAAAATTAAAAAAATCACACATTGTTTTAAAATTAATACATTCATCACTCTGCTCAGAATCTAATGGAGTGTTTTACTCAAAACTTAAATCTCGTGAATCTTTATTGGATAGTTTTAAATTTTAATTATTTTGATATTATTATTTAAACCAGAATAGTGAATAGATACTGAGGAGTCATTAGATAAATGTATGGAACACAAATTTAAAATTCGATTATAATTTCATAGACTCCAGTTTTTTATGATAATGTCAAACCTACGTGTACTTAACTTTTAAAATAATATCAAATTTATTTGTACATTATTTCTAGTAGGTACAGTCACTGAATTGCGTAATAACATAAATTAATATTATTATTTATTTTATTATATCTCTTTTACTTTCCAAGTATAATGAAGAAAAATTTATCGCACTAATACTTATGAAAATAATTTTTAAAAATAATTTAAAGTCAGTGTTTCCAAACATAGAAATAATTTTGAAGATTAATATTTTAACACCTACCGTTAACTATACTGCGGAAAGATCATTTTCTTCTTTAAAACGGATAAAAAAATACTTTCTTTCAAAATTAGGATGAGATAAATTAAACTCTTGAACAATTGTATCGATTGAAAGTGAAATGAAACAAAATATACAATTTTATAAACAATTCAAACTTTTGTAAAAAAAAAAAAAAAAAAACACAAATAAACGAAATAGTTTTTATACTATGAAGTAGATATTATGTGATAAATCAACAAGGATTAAATTTAAGTGCTTATTACATATAGTATGTTTTTCTCACATTTTTTTTTTTACACCACTAAGGTGTTTTATTTGTTCATAAATATAATATGTTGTTGTAAATGTTTTAATTGGTAGACCAAATGTATCGAAATTATCGTGATAGATTATATTTCAATAAAATATATTATATTATTGGTATACTATTTTATCGATTAGAATAGTTTATGGGCTTAACCAATTATTGTTTAGTATTAGTCTATATATAAATATATTTTTTAGTCACTATACCAAATAAGTACTTAAAATTTAAAAATACTTTTATTCATGGATAAGTTTAATAGGGCGGCAATTGCGTAAATCTGTCTCTGATTATATAATATGCGCTTGTCTACTGTAGAAAGTGTGAACATTGATCTATTTTTCTCATTTTATTTTTCAAATATTATTTTTAATTTTATTGTGAAAATGTGTAATTACTAATTACGCAGTGTTAAATTACTCTAATTCAATAATTATAGTTTTTGTTACAATATTTAATGATGACTAATTATTATTAGGGTGTGAGTAATAAAAAAATAAGTTGGGTTCATCTGTTCACTTGACGCGATTTCGGTCACATCGATTTACTAATTGATGGGCGATAAAGCAATAGGAAGTAATGATTTTTTGTTTATTGTTGTATAATCTCTATGTCATAGAAACAAGTTAAGTTGAATATATTCATAATTCTACACTAACGTACTCGTACAGATCCATTTTAATTATCAAAACTATTTAAAAGTATCATCACGTCTATAAATAGGTAGTTAATTATTAACTGTTTGTTATTGGTGCCTACTTCATATATTATTAGAACTCATACGGTGAGCAATTTTACTTTTAAAATTAACTTAATATTATCATTTTAATTAACACTTTTGCAATGTTCCAAGTATGTTGCACCTGTACAAATGTCATTGTGTAAATTAACAACCATGACAATCTACAATAACAAATCATCAATAAGTATTAAATAGGTATTCAAAAATATATTGATACTGATTCTATATATTTAGCAGGTTTAAATTTTATTTAAAAAATGTAATACTAATATTTAAATGCACCATTTGTAAGAGAAACAACAAATTATAAATATAGAATAAAGAACTCTTAAAAAAATTAACAGTTTTTATGATTTATGGATGTTTAAGTAGTCGTTCTAGATAGAATAAATTAGCTATTATATCTTTTTCAATAGCAGTAATAATAGTTTCGGCAAAGTAAAAGACGAATACATTTTCATTCCTATTAACATGAAGTCTACGGTGAGTTTCAATACATTATTTATAGTATTACATGGGGGATACATCGTATATTATTCCGTATAAAGCTAAGACATCGAAATAATCACCAATAATATACCTAATACAGTAATACCTATATCTACTACAGTACACATTAAACGGGTATTGTGCCAACAGTAAAGGAAAAATTTAAAAATAAATAAAATGCACTCTAGTGTTTTATCAGGTCAATATATTTTCTCAATCGAGGTAACTTTTATTGGGTTGAATATAGATATGGTAAAATGGTCTCGAGTAAATTCGTAATACAATTATATTATCATAGCTTTGTAGACAAAGTGCCAGATTTTTGAAGAACTATAATATAATAGCCAATATATATATATATATATATATATATATACAAGACCTTAAAACTATGATATTTTAACACGAAATGTCCAAACATATCATATAACGATGCTTAAGATTAATAACATAATACATACATATATATATATATATATATATATATAGATTCAAATTCAATAAAAATATCCGTTGGTAATATTATTTCACCATCGAATAGTAACAAGTATAATGTTTATATTATATGCATCGAAAACAGTCTGTATATAATATTAAATTAATTATATATAGGTACATAAAACATATAACATAATATTTACTTAAAAACTATGTTTATGATATTGTATAGTTGTATACACTTATTAGTCTATAATAACACGTCATTCGTTGTACATCTAAAACAGTAAAATGTAACTTTAACATGGCCATATTATAATATAATATTATATTATACACTTATTCATATCAATCTAATATTATATAGGCAATAATTTATAGTATATCTATGGCACTTAGTATAAATAATATTATACATCAACAAAATATTATAAATTTATATAACGAACGCAATATCAGTAGGTATACACTATATAACCTATGTATAGTTAATAGGTGGTACAATATTGCATATATTTTAAAATATACATGATAATCGCACATTATACTACTCGATATTTTACCTATATTTAGGCATATCTTAAAATCTTCAGCGTTCTACACAGTAAAAATTTATCGTAAAATAATACGTGGCATAATTATTTAATAATTAATCGATATTATGTACGAGTGTATTTATATACACGTTCGACAACCGCATTCTATTTCGGCCGAGGAGTGGTGATTTTGAGTTGTAAGAGTGTTTAGGTGGATGTCTCGTGTGTGTGCTTGCTAAGCTAATGGCGACAGTGGTCGCCGTTCCGGTTTTCACGTTATGGCACACATCCGGGATTTGGTCTTAGTGGGTTTTCTGCCGGAAGCAGTCTGCGGATGCTGCATGGTCGAGTTCTGGTGTTGCATGTGATGCTGTTGCCCCATGAGCCTGCGCTGCTGCAATAGCCTATTGACCACTATTCGGTACGTTGCCACCACGTTGCTCCTTGACCCTCGGGAACTGTGTTCGTCGAGCATAGTTTCGGTTATACCAAGTCCTTCCAACGCCCGTCTGGCATTAGTCTCGGTGTCGGTAAGCTCATCGCCAGCCGCCGTCGGAAAAGCGCACCACTGACCGTATACCGAGTTGTTGTTGAAACGTATCTGATACGCCGACGCTTCCCGCAGCCAGTCGGACTTGAGTACCTGATCAATGTCGAACCGATGTTCAGGAGACGTGTTGAGCATGGACTCTGTAGAATACGAAATACGTACGTATAAATAAAATTATAAATGTAATACAGTTGTTATATCATAATATGACGATATATCATATTAATAATTAGCGTATCAAATAGAGTTGTCCAGATATTTTATCTTTACAAAATTGATACCAGGATTAATTTAACAAATCTGAGAATATTTCTTCAACGGATTTATAATGCACAATTTTATTTTAATGATACTGTATAAAATGTACCGAATTCATTGAAATTTTGGAATAATTAAAACTACGCTATTTCGTAAATTTATGTATACTGCACTTTATACCTGTAGTTTTTAAATTTTTTAACTGAAAAGGGTTAGCCTTGGCTAACTTAATCTAACCATGGTGTCCTTGTGTGAATATCACAAAGAATATGATAAAAAAATGAACTCTAATTCTTATTAATAACTTATCAGGTGTCCTAGGCGTGTGTCATTTATCTATCAATCGATAATGTAGCTTACGATAAAGAGTGTGTTGAGTAATTTTATACATAAAACAACTTTTCGTCTTTTTAACTACCATAAGTTGTTAATCATTTTTTTTTTATTCTGATATGAGTCGTAGTGCCCCTAAAATGAGCTCGCAATGCACATATTGGAAACCGCTTCTTTATACATATTATATAATATAATATTAAATTTAAATAAACGATATATGATCGGGGTGTTAAGCCTAACTACTACATTTACAGCCCTTCCATTTTTACACGAGTATTGATTTGCAAAAACCAATGCATATAATAACTGTGTGTAAATGTGTATACGAGTGCAGTGTATTATGCAATCGCATATTATATAGAGTGATTAGTGATTAAACGTATACGACATGATATTATAAGTATGTTCATTGCTCATTATTTTTAAGATTTGATAATGATGTAGCCCCATCATAACTCATAAGATATCGGCAGTGGGTTTAGTGAATCACAGTACATGATAATATGTATATTATTATCGTAATATCGTCTATATATATTACCTGACTCCTATTATATTCTACGGCCTAAACCTATTATTAGAATATGTATTTTTGTTTAATATTTTTTTTTATCATACACCAATTAGGTATGTAAAAATAAATTCTTATAATATTTATAGTGAATATCGACCTGTAAATGTAATATTTAAATTATCTGCAGTTTTTAATACTGTTGTTTTCGTTATTTAAACGTTAGTAAGTAAACCAACTCATTAAATATTGTCCAGGTCAAAGTACTCAATTTACACATATTTCAGTGTTTGTGATGTGTGGATGGTTGGAAGTTCATTTGCATGAAGAACAGTCTTGATACACTACTCGTTTTTAAATCAAAATCATTATGTTAATGGTATAAATAAAAACAAACTACAAAGTTCAACTGTTCGGTTTATTCAGTGTAAATCAGTGCGTGCACACACATATAATATTATACTGACATAATATATAATATGATATATATATATATATATATATAGCTTAGGTATAAATGTAAATAATCTGCGTTGCGTATAGATCAGAAATTATCATAAATAATTGTTGTAATTTTATTAAACTTGAAAGACACGTGACATTTCGCGATTATCATCCGCTGACCAACAGAAAACCGACATTTAATTTTGTACAACAGGGGCCAATGAAACCTTTTTTAAATTTTTCTCAGGACACACACAAAATCGTACGAGATTTTTACAAAAGAACGCGTTTATGCAAATAAAAACTATAGGATTTTTGAGATCGCTATTAAAATAATTGTACCTACCTAGTCGTGTATACAACTCACAACACAATATTCATGACCAGACGTTTGACTCAGACGAATAGCCGTCCTCCAAGAACGATTTGTATATTATCAATTATTATTATTACTCATCCACTATCCTATTTATCTTGATTTCTAACCATTACCTATGAGTGACTTTAACAGCTGAGACATATAGGCGGGTGAGTTCACGTGCCCTGCCAGTATTGACCGCCTGAGCCCGGCCATGTTATCGCCGAGAAAAGGCATCGTGGCGGTGGTCATGAAGAACAACAGCACGCCCAATGACCACACGTCGACAGGACGGCCGACGTAACGCTCGTCCAGAAACAGTTCGGGGGCCGCATATGGTGGAGACCCACAGAACGTCTCTAATTTTTCGCTGTCTGTAAAACACAAAAATACATTTACAACCTCGCTATACTCGTCGTTATTGTAAATAGATAGGTGGCGATCGTTAAATTATATGTCGTCAACGTCGACAAACAGATAGAATACATGATCTATAAAATAAAAACAATATTAACAATGTTAAATAATAGATGTTAAATACTTTGAAAAATTCCCTTAGAAATTGAAAAAAATCTCGACGTAAACATGCGAATTACGAATATTATAATATATAATATAAATTAATTAATTAATTAATTAATAATAATAAATAAATATTATTATATTATTATATTATATTATATTATATTATATTATTTCATTTACGAATTTAAAGATTTCGTACATTTTCAATCCTCATCGAATAATAAGGATATTTCAGTATTTTTTTCGTTATTATGAATTTCGACTCGCCTAAAATGAATCAATAACCATAATATTCATAAAAACGGCTGTGCTTACACGTATTTATTTACACTTGATCTAAGATTTGGGTATTAATATCTTCAAATTAAATGCGAGTTTAATTTTATTATTTTTTTTACAATCAATTGCATACAAAAAATATCAAACAATTATGTATGTCGGAACATTTGATAAAACTTTTATTTAAAATTCCAATTTATACTTTACATTAGCTTTGTTTGGATAACAAAAATGTAATACAGTAATTGCAATCAATTTTAACGAAGTAAATTCGTTAAAGAAATTAAAATTTTACCACTGTTTAACATAAATGTCTATGTATATATGCATAATTATAAATATATTAATAATTATTAATAAATCATGTTTTAATGACGCCAAATAATACTCGTGTTTACGATTTTGCCACATGATAATATTAGCTATGATAACAATACAGGAACTATAATTATTATAATATAAAATAGTGTTTATTTGTACACGGCTGATAAAATATAATTTAATCTATATTGTTCAATTGGAATTTAGAGCATTAAATGCATGACGTCGCAGAGCCTTTATCGAGTTGATTTATGTAATTGTATATGTATGTTATTGTCTCGAAATCATATTTTGAAGACATTAAATCAAAGTGAGATAAAATGCTAATAAAATATTTATCATTGAAAATAAAGACAGAACAAAAATCATTACTAATTAGTAATTTACAAACTCGATTATCGATATTTTTCGAGTTCAAAGAATCAAAAATGAGCGAATTAAGCGAATAACGATCCTATTATCATTCCGTACATGACTTCTATCTCACTAGCAACAGCGATATGACGTATACTCGTGAAAGCACACAGTATGTTTGTTTTTATTTATTTATTTATCAAAATGATAATAGGCCCCACTAAACATATTATTTAACTTGATCAAATATTATGAGTATATTCGTATAATATATATTTATAAATACTTGAGACTGTGATGCTAAATCCGAAGTCTCCTAATTTGGCGACGCCTCTGGAACTCAAGAACACGTTCTCCGCTTTGATGTCTCTGTGAACGATGTTGAGATCGTGCTGTAGTATACATGTAACCGAGAAATATAGATGACAAAAATACAAATTAATAAATTATTATGGACAACGTCGATGAAACCTACGAAAAAAAATTATTCACCAGGTGTTTAACGGCCAACACGATCTGAGAGAAAATGTTTTTAGCTTCCGACTCGTGCATTCTGCCTTCGGATATTAATCTTTTAAACAGTTCCCCGGCCGCCGCATGCTCCATTATCAAATAGTATTTTGTGTACGTCTCGATTACTTCGAACAGTCTGAAATGAGATTTACTTGGTATTTTATATTCAGACGGTGGGATTAGGCAAAGATACGAACGTCCTAAGATCGTTTATTGATTTATTATGTATTATATTAATCAAACGAAGAAAAAAGAAAATAGAAAGAAGCAAAATAATGAGAATGAATAGCACCACACTCATGACAATAATACGTTGATCTATATAGATGGCCAATTTTACCGAATAACGTTTTGATGATGTATCGATTCCATGACAGAGATCTCCCGGGACAGCATTTTCTTCGCTTTCGCCGTCAATTTCGTCTTATCTAATATTTTGATTGCCACTCGTTCTGAAAGTATTCAATAAAAGAAAATTCGTATTATGCATTCATTGACTATAAAAGTATGGCCTATGAAATGAAATATATCAATTTTTTCATTGTTATTTATATATATATATATATATATAACCCGTTTTGCTATAGAAAATGAGAAGATCGTATAAACTAGTTTGTAACTATTTTTATGGGGAAACGTTCAAGTACATAAAATATTATTAATAGTTATTATATGAATTATTTCGATTATTTAATATTAGTTACATTATTTTAGACAATATTATATATTTCGCTATCATGAGACTACTGACTTTTGCATTTTATTTTGACAATATAAATACCTATAATATATAATAATTTATTTTTGTATACATTATTGTGCACATTTTGAATATTAAAAATTAATTATACAATTGCATAATGCTATAAAAATTAAATACCATACAATTTTTTACGACTAATAAATGTTTGTAAATATGTTAAATAGTATAATTTAATTCGTTATCTACGAAAAAAATTATTGAGTTGATGTATAACTAATTATTATTATTAGTTATTTTTTTTCCATAGTAAAATTACATCTACAACGTCACTCGTCCCTATAATTATTTTTTATCATAAATATTCTATCAACAACAAAGTAAACATATAAACATAAAAAAGGATAGCCTGGTGATCAAAACTTGATACTGAAAAAAAATGCATTCAAAGTTGCAAAATGTAATTTGTGGATTACTCAAAGTTATTAGCACTAAGTGTACATTATGCTTATACTTTATAGGCTGCACTTAATAATAAAAATAAAGCGAATCAATATTTATGTGTTTTTAAAATTATTGATTATTTAGTGTCATTTATAATTATTGTCAAAGTGTTTCATTTGATCTCTTTAATCAGTCAAGGTCGGAACATATGTACCTTTGGTCAACTCGTGGTATCCAGTTTTCACTTGTGAAAAATTGCCTTTGCCCAGCTCCCCGCTCAGCTTGTACAGACCGATCCTTTTTCCTACGGCCGTATCGGTTTGCCATTTCCGGTCGTTGTCCAAATTATCGATCGCCTTTCGGTATGCTAAAATCAGTAAACAAAAAACAAAAACATGAACAAAACGGCGTAGCTAGGTGCTAAATCGGTAGCTGCGGTATTTATAATTCATATAAGTGTTCGTGCGTGGACTTACCTGTTAACTTTGTTGGAGACGCCTTTTCCTCGGAAGACTCGCACAAGGTCATCGTCGTAACGTCATCGCGTGTTCTCTGAAACAAACCGAAACATATAATGTAACGTATAGAACACATATTCGCACTCTTCGTGGTCCTGCCCTTCTCCTATTATTGTTGTTATTTTTTTTATATAAGTATCTATAGTAGAGAAGTATAATATTATTATATAATATATAGTGCAGTATAATAGTTTATTTCTACACTAACGCCATTCTCAATGTATACAGAGAAGTCCCATTGATACGGTACGATGTGCATTTTATACTTAAATACCTATCTATAAAATCATTTGTACTCAATTTATACTTGTATTACCTATATTTATATATAGGTGGTAATAATAATAATAATAATAATAATAACTACACGCACCGTTGTACTTAGGCATACCCCCCAAACATTCATATATATTTATACATAAGTACTTATAAACTGTATTATAGTGACGAACACGCGAGACATGGAAAGCAAAAAGCAACTGCCATGAATTATGTCTGACGTATATAATCTTTATTATAACGATTATTATTATATCGGACGTAATAAACAATAACTATTATATTATAATATACCGATAATGCTAATGGTATTTTTTTTTACATATCAATTATAATGGTTCGGGAAAAAAAAATTTATTTGACATAAATGTTTTACACTCTATAAACTAGTTCCTTCGATTATTTTATCATTATTGTTATTATTATTATTATTAATGTGCATTTATTATTTATTTTTAGTTATAGATTCTGAGCGGTCAGCGTGGCGATAAATGTATTTTATTTTGATCTATTTTAACTGCGATAACAGTACACTTTTGACCAAAATCCGTATTACCTAGACAGTATTGTGTATAATGATTTATACTCGTAACATTTTAACTTAGAAATGGTCAATAAAATTACTTTGACGCGATAAATAGATAATTTTTAGCCTTATTTTATGTTAACACAGCAATATATTTTTGTAGGTACTTTGACTGCGTGGTTATGTCGTCATCGATACGTTATTTTTCCTAGATAATAAATTCTGCAACAATGTGTACGATGTTCAACATTCTCAGCTCAATTTTAGTCTCGTTCTAATTAACGTGATAATTACTCACGCACAGACATAATAAATTAATACATCTACATGATATGAATACGCGACGTTGAAATCGAAATCCAAGCGGCGGGAAATCGAATACACTATGCTGCATAATAGTTTTATAATATTATTCCGCAATAGAGACCTAATTAGCCAGCGTGCTCGGAGACCCAAAATAAAGTCCCTCGAGTAAATTAAAAACGAATAATTTACCTATATATGTAACTAACATTAAATTGCATCACTCCGAACTTGTCGATGAATCTCTATCGATGGGAGAAGACGTGCGCAAAGTTACGTGGGCAAGAGGTTTTCGTCAAAGAAATCATGCTATAATACTTTTATAATCACATAAAATGTTTATTATTCAAACAATATATAGATTGTACTTGAATATTAAAAATGTAAAAAAAAAAACAAAAATAAAAAAATATTATAATGTACTTAAACGAGAACGGTAATGATATAAATCAGTGGCGTGATTATCAATACTTCTATAGTAGTAAGACCAAACTATATTGTTTTTAAACAAAGTAACTCCCACCTTATAGTCATTAGAAAAGTTCGATATACTTTCCATTATATTAAAATTTAAATATATACGTAAAGGCTTGCAGAAAAATGACGATTCGAGACCAAGAAGAGGGTGAGAACTGAGAGTCGGGAACTCAATATTATATTGACCAGTATAATTTATTCAAATATACATATATACATATATATATATTAAGTAATATAATAGGGATTCTATTACAAAAACAATTAGCCTATTCTTAATTTTAGAATTTTTACATTAGAATATCTGTATTTAATTAGTTACATTATACTTGGTGGTAAAACAGGTTGTGTATTGTTTAAAAACATTAATTTATTTAAAAAATGTTCATAGTCTACAGTTGCCTTTGATTGTTAGTGGTTTTTTGATGAAGTATACTATGTGATACGTAGGATGGAGGCACTGTACAATAATGCATTTGATTGTCCTCAAAACAACGCATATGACGCATATTGGTTTTCGTGGTTCCTTGGTGCAGAAGATATTGAGATAGAATGTGTTTTTCTGTTATAGTATCTCATCATAATATTACATAATACAAATGATATTAATATATTATTGTTCATTATTGTCGCTTTACATTTTTCGTAAAGGTTTTCCACAAAAATATAACACCATAATGATCTAAACTCGAATCTTACGTATACGTAAGATCATTACATTATTCAGTCGGTTGACGGCAAATTGGAATTTTGTAAACAATTTTATTCATAATATAATAAAATATATAGTTGTGATAATTATTTTTGAATTTTTCTATAAATGTTTTAATCAAACAAAAACATGAGTAGGTGTACTTGTAAACTTACTAAATTAATATTAAGGATTATTTAAAATGTGCATTGGATAAGTTACGATCACCTCCAAACACAAGTTTCAATATAGGCATTACGAAACCTCCAAAATATTATTTTCTAGAAAATAAAATCATATAATGTCGATTTGCGGATACTGATATATACATACACGATATGCTGACATATTTTTTGTTTCGATCGCATTCCTCCGGAAACGAATAGCGATTATTACAAATCATCATTGTACGATGTATTTTTTGATGCTCAGATATTTGGAACGAATAATAATAAAAGTACACTTTTAAAAACATACTTCCAAAAAAAACCAACACATATAAACGCGGAAGAGCGTGGACAATGATTTCTATCCAGCGAGATATTCGGAATTTTCTTAAAACACAATAAACAGGTTTTAAAGGTGAAATTCAACTGCGTTACGCGGTGATTAGCGCTCTAGTAGATCCGTTTCATAACCTATTCTAAATTTCAATTCAAGGTCGTATGGTGAATAATAATAATGTATTCTCGTTTTCGTAGCTACAAGTGTTAAAGTCTGATTAAAGTTATAAACAAAAATTATATTAAAACGTAACGACCGCGTGTAACAAATTAAATTGTTACATATATCATAATATGGATTCGGTGGATCCTTACTCACCTAGAAGCACAATTGAGGCATATTATTAAATATCATATTTGTTTAAGATTAATAAAACCACTGTACATAGGCGTGCTCAGAGTTCCCGATCAAGTACAACACATATTATTTCTATTTTGTTGATGTCTATTGATAACTTTTATTTTAAGGAACATTTTCAGAAAACTTTTAGCCAATAGGTACATTGTTTATTTATCAACACCAAAAATAAATATCTATTTTATTATTGTTTTAATTTTAAACATAGAGTATAATCATATCACGAACACGCAAAAAAACTAAAAAAAAAAGTTTGGCGTTACAGAAAGAGCAGATGCAGCCTATGCTCTGCATGTGCTGCAACCATGCGCGCGCCTATGCACATGTATATAAGAAACGTTAACTCTCTTCAGAAATATTGAAGTAGAATATTATGTAAAGTTCTTTTCGTGAGAAACATCCAGGAAATCGAGAGAAATTTTTCATGGACACCATAATGACAGCGGTTGCCTATCGTGTACGTAAAGTTTATAATACATTTTATGTACGTCATTATTGTACCAAGCTAAGCTGCTGTTTGTGTTTTAATCATATGAGGTGTATACATATATATTTATGTGCCCATATTCTTTCTTTTGATAAATTAATAAACTTCAACTGAGTTTAATGGGTTGATATTTTTCATGACTATATAATAATATAATATACGATAACAATATCATATTATATTTTATCACGCGAACGCTACGCCGATCGAATTTTCTGAATTTTCAGCAAACAATGGGAAATCCTAACCAGAGAATTAAAGTTGTCATTCTAGAGTGATCAAACGGGATGCAACAGTCGCCATATTACATTATACTACGATAAAAGGTATGTAAACTTTAATATTTATATGCTGTAACATAATATCAACATAGTTGTATGTGATCATTAATGTTTTTTTCAAAATATCAAAAATACATGTAATACTATATTATACAATAACAATACCTATACAACTAAAACAGTATAGTCTAACACTAATGGAAACGTGAATTATTAATTTCTGACAGTTATGTACACAAATTATATCTATATTGATAAACTTGTTCAAAACCTATATAAGTGGATACATTTTGAAATAAATTATTTACTGTAAGTTGCAGTACCGTTGTTGTGTTTTGTTCTATGCGTGTTGCGTATTTTGTTCTAACATTAATCTAAAAACAGTATTTTATCTAAGGTTATGGTAAAGTTCTTGTGCATGATAATTTTACGATAATTTTCATCCACCGTTTTTAATTTTTTTGTTTTTTAACTTATATTGATAAACACCAAAGATTAAATATATAATAGCAACACTAGCAACACAATAATGCATTTTATTATCATATCATTATTTTTAACTTTAACTCTGTTCATTAAAATATCATAATCAAACATGTGTAAGCTGTTTGGAATAAATATTCATTTTTTTATATGGAAATTCGGAAGAGACTATTTATAAATAACTAAATTAGATATTTTAGACTATTTCCACAACCGATGGTAGTTTTAAACTTTTAAACCGTTGTTTACAACTACAGTACACATTTATATGTAGACGTTTATTCAAATTAATTTAGATGCTTATACCGAACGTAAGTCTATACTAAATAATATTATTGTCGTACGCAAACAGAACACGATGTCGATTGGACAGTCAAATCAGATCTAGCCATAAATAGGTAAATGCATACGATTTGTGCACGTGTATACGCGTATCACGAGCCAGAGACTTAATACATATATTGTAGGATACTGTGTATCGCGTAGGAAGTACAGTAAAACCTCTCTATAACGGAATCGTTTGGGACCAACATTTTTTCCGTTATAAAGAGTTTTCCGTCATAGAGAGGTAGAAAATTATATATTATTTACACCGAGACTATTGACATTTTCCGTCATAAGAAGGATTTCGTTTAATAGAGAGTCT